TGTCAGGAGGTCTCGGTATGTAGAAAAAAAAGCCATATATCAGAAACTCTTTTTGCCATTACGCTGACTGTTAATATGAAACCAATGACGTGCAGTAATGAGTGGAAATAGCTTTTCAGTTAGCAGCTGTTAGAAGTGACCTTAATAGTAAATAAAATAATGATAACTGGCATACTCTGCTGGTGCCATTGCTTCTAAGTTTGTGGAACTGGATGACGTTTGCTTTTAGTTTATGAATTACTCAATGTAGCTACACTAACCACTGACTTTTTAAAGCAGGAAATGTGTTACTTTAGATTGCATTGGGTTTTTTTTTTTTACTTTGACTGGAAGACCACTGATTCTGATACCCATGCTAAAGGTGAAAACTGGTTTCTGTGGTTCATTAAGGAATTCGAAGAAATGCTGTTGCACTACCAAAACTCAAAATAACAGAAAGATGACAAATGATATAGAGCAAGGTTTTACTTGCTTAACTTGTTTAACTTCACAAACAGTGAGGATGAACATATTCATAAGAGCTTGAAAGATGAGTCCACTTCTTAATCATTTTATATTGATTAGGAAGTAGAAGGTGCTCAACTAAGTGATAGAAAATCTCCATCATGTTGCTGCACATATCAAAGAGTTCATCTCCCTCAGAAAATAGAGCTTGCTCATCTTCTCTATTGCAGTCTGCATTTTTCTTGGATCAACCTCTTGTACCGGTAAGGATGCGGGTCATGTTGTTGTCCTCTTCTGTCGAAATTGAAACACCATCTATGTTCTTATACACATTTAAAATGAGATTCTTTTTAGACCATTCCACAAGACTACTTGAATCATGTCATTACGCAGTGAATACTTTTACTTGAATGGCATTACCTTGGCCAGCTGTGAGAAATATTGGAGTAATATATCAACACACCACACACAACAAGCGTACTTTTTGTCAATTTTTGACTAATAAACCATTAATTTGGCCTTGAAGACCTTGGGGGACCTAAGTCAAATTTTAATGTGTCGCTAAGACGACCCCACTCTACACCAGTATTGGCGGCAGAATACTGCAATATTCTGGCAAAAATAGAACGAATCCTTTTTTCATGAGAACATGTCAATATTTGTGCACATGTTCTTCTACTAACTTTTGCAACAGTTTCATAATCATGACTATAGGCACAGTTTAAATTATAATCTTATCTCCGGTTCTTGCAGTTCATAGTTTGATGCAAAATATCACTGTGTCAAGTGTTCCTACGGCAAAGAAGCCAAGCATCTGCCTTCTTTACTTGTTAGATTAAATAAACTACAACTCTCGCAATGTGTGTGAACCATTTTCATAAAAATCTGAGACATTATAGTCCAAATAAACTGAAATTAAAAACAAATAAATATAACTATTTCTGAATTCAGTTAACCAATTACATTAGTATTCAACTCTAAGGTGAATTGGACCTGACAGTCCTTGAGGAAGATGGGAATAATTGAGTCCTAACTGTCAAGTATTACTGGAATTAAGCAAGAAGCCAAATGAGACAAACTGTGTTTACAAACCAGGCCTTAAATCTAACAAATACAGAATATGGACATGATAGGTCAGTGAGCTACAGCCATAACTATAAAGGAAATACTGATACTGATCTGGTAATAATGTTGCTTCTGTCTAAAATAGAAATAGATATTTGCTACAGCAGTAGCTTATTAATTACTTGGTTTATTTATTATATTGACATTATCCAAATAATGTCAACATTACAAGTTAAGTGTTAATTACAAGCAATTAGTCGCATCTTACAACACAAGGCTAACAGACTGTGGGGCGGCTGTGGCTCACTAGGTAGAGCAGGTCACCTGCTAATTGGAAGGTTAGTGGTTCAACCCCTGTATGATCCAGTCTACTTACCAAATATCCTGGGCAAGATACTAACTTGATACAGCCACTCGTGAGTGAATGATAGATAGAAAGCACGAAAAGCATGGGGGAAAAAATGTCCTTGCATAGAACAAAAGCTATTTGATTTGTATCTACACTTGATTTGGTGCTTTCAGTATTATTATACGGACCGTATAATAATACTGAAAGCACCAAATCAAGTGTCAAATCCCAAACTCATACTAAAAGTGAATGCAAAACGGTGTCATAAGTAAGAAAATAAAGAATAAATAATGTCAGAATAATAAACCTTCTCATAACACTCATAATACAATCTGTTTCAGACTGCTGAGGTAAAGTAATTAGGACGAACTAGATCATGCAAGGATAATACAAATGCAGAACTTGCACGCTTACTTGAGCAAAGGATGTGGTTAGAAGTCAAAACACAAAAGATTGTGCTGATACATGCCAACAGTGGAAACTAGCCGTATAAAAGGGTCATCTTGACACACCTACAATTACAAATTAACTGCCATGATGCAAGGTCTGCAAAACATTCTGCTCATCTATGTTCTGAGATGTCTCGGACAAATTGGTAAGAATCACAATCCTTGGTTGTTTTTCAGTGATCATTTAATGGAGCATCAGCCTAACTTTGACGTTGTTTTTTTTTGTTGTAGTACATGGTAGTGACATCATAAATGGGAAAAAGGCCCCAGAGAACTCAATGCAGTATGTGGTCTCAGTGCAGAACATTGATGGCCATATATGTGGAGGTTTTCTAGTCACTGAAGACTTTGTGGTAACTGCTGCACACTGTGACGTTGAGTAAGTAATCAGTCTTCTCGTGATGACCTCTTTGACTCGTGTAACTACATCAATTTAATTGATGGCTCTTAATGATTGTCTTCCTTCAGAAACCCCACACATGTTGTCCTTGGCAGCCACAATATCAAGAAGGGTTATCAAATAAATATTGAAAAAAAATTTAAGCCCCCCTCTTACTCTAACATTTGGTGGGGTAATGACATCATGCTCCTTAAAGTAAGTATGTATTCATACAATCAACACTTTCAAATGCCATAATTGTTGATTTAATGATTTCAACTCTAATAACACTGCTAATATGTTATGGAATTAAGAATTTAGGATTTTTTTCTTTCTAATGTGTTTCTCCAGCTGTCTAGGAAAGCTCGGCTCGGATGCAAAGTACAAATAATTCAACTTCCGTGTGCTGAAATGAACGTAAAAGCAGATCAAGTGTGCCAGGTGGCTGGTTGGGGAAGAAATAGAACTGGTGGTGAAAATGTCGATGACCTGAGAGTGGTGACCGTGTCCGTCATTAACCAATATGCATGTAGGGAACAATGGCCCGGTCTTTCTGCCAATGTTATCTGTGCAGGTGGATACGGCACAGACAAAGGATTCTGTCAGGTATGGCTTCTGTTCTTTCATTGAATGTGTCTGCTTGTTTCTTGTTGACAATTACCCGAACAACCTAAATTAAATATGAAATGAATATTTTCCCTATTTCTTCCTGACAGGGTGATTCTGGTGGTCCTCTGGTGTGCAACGGGTTAGTTGTTGGTCTTGCTTCTTTCAACAAAAATTACAACTGTGCTTATCCAAATGTACCCAATATCTACACAGACATCTCCAAACACCTTAAGTGGATCAATTGGATTCTGCTAACTGCAACATCTTCCTAAAAATGTGTTTTTGTGTTGCTACTGTAGAAGCAAAAGATAAATGAATAAAAATATAATGGCTGTCTGCCATTACCAGTGTGACAAAATATCAATAAAAATCGATCCCAAATTTTCTGTCTAATTTCCTTTTGTAATAGTCTTAGTTTACAAAACAATAAGAAACAAGAATACTGTAGAGGTCATTTTTGTCTCAGGTGAAGGCCAACTAACGTCTTTTTTCTATCTTCTTTGAGATCTAAAAAAATACAAAATGCTAACTGAATACTCTGAGAAAGCTTACTTCAAACATTTTTTTTTCTCCTGTACAGATACTCACTGATGCACACAGGGGCAAACAAAAGCTACGTGAGCTACGTGTTTTGACTGCCATGATTAATCGTTAATACAATTATCATAGTTTTTAAGATATTTATGTAAACTTTAACAAAATTTGGTTAAAAATGACACATTTGGATCTAATGAGAAAGATGTAAGAAACAAAAGATGGAAGAGTGACTAGTCCAACACTTAACAAAGCAGTGTTGGATAGGTCTTCTACCCTAATTATTTGATTGAAGAAAAGTTTAACCCACCTATTTTATCACCCACAGGCTTGACTTTGCCTCAGAGGACTTGCTGCAGTTTGGGGTCCACAAATTTAATTCAGTTCACAAATTTTCTTTCACCTTGACTCTGTCTTTGGCTCAGTTTTACAAGGGACTTTTTTATTTGACTGAATCTGGCAAATCCTTTTTTGATTTCAAGCGCAAATATACTAACACTATCTTGTAAAATACTGCCACCTACTGCTGAAAGACAAGTCACAAGTTTGTCACATGGCTACCACAGACAGCCATGCATTCACAAAGTCAGACGTATGGCCAATTGAGAATTGCCAAGTAACCTAACAAGCATGCATCTAGACTGTGGGGGGTAACAGGAGAGAACCTGTGTATAGGGGAGAACATGCAAACTTTATACACTAACTTTATACAGAAAAGCCTCAGCCTGTGGATTCAAACTAAGTAAAAAATCTCACCTGCCTGGCTTATCACACTTGTTCTATTTAATTCAGTTTTGTTTATATAGCACCACCTCACAAAAACAGTTGCTGCAAACAGTTGCGCTTTGTATTGTAGGGAAAGACCATATAATAATAGAAAGAAAACCTCAACTATCAGATGTACCCTTATGAGCAAGCGCTTGCAGACAGTGCGAAAGAAAAACTCCCTTTTAAGAGGAAGAAAAGTTCAACAGAACTAGTCTAATGAAGTCTGCCTTGTTGGGGGTGGGGAGAAAGAGAAGAGCGTCATATAACAGATAGTGTGTAATCACACTGAGAATGTTAAGAGGTGAGAGGAAAAAAAATATTCAGTGCATTAGATGACTTAGACTATTAGCATAACTGAAGTATGGTTCAAGATCACCTGATCCAGCCCTAACTGTAAGCTTTATTCAGTAATGCAGTAGGAGACACAAAAGTGGCAACACTTTCGACACACAATTCTGCATTAGTAAAGTATTACTAAGTGCTTAATTTATCATTATTTAAAGCATTACTACTCCTTAGTATGTAATTTACAAATACAGATGGTTGGGTCTGCGCTTTCACAGGCCCCAGTTCAGAAACGTATTCCCGTTAACAAAGCAAGACAAACAGCTCAACCAGTTTTTCACATGCTAGCAAGGGAAGGATCTCAGAGCAGCCCTTCTGCCCTCGGTGTTAGACCACTTTGAAGAACCATCTCTCCTGCAGCCTTTTATTTCTGTGACACACAGTTTACACAAACACCCACTGTAAAACCCCCCTATGGTTATAAAAGACAAGGCACTAGGTGTGTGTGTGTGTGTGTGTGTGTGTGTGTGTGTGTGTGTGTGTGTGTGTGTGTGTGTGT